AGGGAGCACTCAAAGACTATCTATGGCGCCAAACACACCCATCACACTATTGAACAGAGGTCTGATAACAAAAGTTGCAAAACTGGTATGTTTCTATTCTCTTAATACATGGTGTAAATATAACACAGAAGACCTCAATATCCTGAAAGTAAAAAAAAAAATTAATCATATCCAGCTAATTAATTTACATTCTATAAGTGGTGGCTTAGTGGTTAAGATGCCAGTTCTGATGATCAGCAGGTTGGCAGTTCAAAGCCCAGGTGCCACATGATGGTGTGAGCTCCCGTCACTAGTCCCAGCTTCTGCCAACCTAGCAGTTTGAAAGCATTCAAATGCAAGTAGATAAATAGGTACCAATTTGGTGGGAAGGGAACAGCGTTAGGTGCAGTCATGCTGGCCACATGGCCACTGGAATAGTCCTTGGACAATGCTGGCACTTTGGCTTAGTAATGGAGATGAGGACTGACAGTCATGTCAAGGGACTACCCTTACCTTTTATTTATTTTTTAACCTAGTTCTTTACTTGTGGTTTTTCAAACGAAAGCATTTAATCATATGCAAGTCTTCAAGCTGATGACCAGAAACAGACTCAGAAAGTAGTAGATTCATTCACTGGAGATTTTGAAACAGGTTAAATGATGATCTCTCAGGAGTGCTTTAGCTGTGGCTTCCTGCATAATGAGAATTGGACTAGATACCTTTGCCGTTATTTCCAACTCATCCCCAATATGACTCTAAGGTCTAATCTGCACAACAGAAATAATGCAATTTGACACCACTTTAACTGTCATGATTCAATGGTATGGAATTATGGGATTTGTAGTTTTGTGGGATATTTAGCCGTCTCTGTCAGAGAGCTCTGGTGTCACAACAAAATACAAATCCCAGAATTCCATAGCATTCAGCCGTGGCAGCTAAAGCAGTATCAAACTCAGTGCAGATTAGACCTAAATCATAAAAATACAGGGATCAGCTGTGTTGAGTAGAAGACAAATTCCAAAGTCTGTATTACGGTAACCCTTCAGTTAGGCCAACCAATACAGTATTCAAGACATGGTGCAAGCTTTTGAAACCAAGTTTTGATCTTCAGTTTCTTCAGTTTAGGCAATGAGCAGATCATGCAAAGCATGTCAACAGAAATCAATTCAGATAGTTTTGCCTTTGTTTGGAGAGAGTCCCTCAGAAAATACTGTAGCAATACCAATAGCAAGTACATTCTATACTGCTTATCAGTGCACTTAAGCACTTCCTAACCGATTTACAATGTGTAGACTAATTGCCCCCAACAAACTGGGTACTCATTTTAGCAATGTCAGAAGGATGCAAGGCTGAGTCAACTCTGGAGCCCCTAGCTGGTATCGAACTCATAACCTTGTAACTGTAAGGGAGTGGCTGCAGTACCAACATTTAACCACTGCACCACCAGGGCTCCTTCTGTAAGACTTGCTTTGCCTGACCCCAATGCCTAAGTTCATCTCCAGGGTTAACAAAACATAGATAAAGTGAGAACTTACTGCTTTTTTCTAGAAAGGTCCCTGTGAGCTTCACACTTAACAGGAGCAGATTTGAGTTTTCAGTGTGCTTTTGTTTGTTTGCTTTGTTTGTTTTTATAAAATGGAGAGCCAAATTTTATTGTTCTGCTTTTATTGCCTTTCTCCTTCTCAGTGGACTCAGGACCATTCATTTGACAGACTACCTATCTTTCCTGCCATACCGTCTCAAGCCAACATGCAGACTATGTGGGGATGCAGATGGGTGGCCCTGATCCACTCTGGAAAGTAGAGGATTGGGCCCTGATTCTCCCATTTGCCACCTCTAAAAGAGCGGCAAAATGTCGCTCCTAGTAGAGGTGGCAAAAGGATGCACCAAAAGCTGGCACACAGCTCTTCTCTGCCTCTTCCTGCCCAGCTCATAAAGACGTTGCAACAGGAGGACGTCCTGATGCCAAACACCATGCGTAATGGCACACGGTGTCAGAACATCTTTGGGGAGGGGTTGGGGCAGCTGGCGTGCAGCTGGCCCTCCCTTTTCCTGCCTCCAACATGCCACAAAGGGCCCGTCTGCAGAGGCCCTATGTGATTCTGTTGTCATTTTCTTCTTCTACCCACCTAGCTTTTCCCCTTTTTTGCTTTTTAAAAACATCTTTGCTTGATGAAGCAACCTGTAGTTTCAAAAGCTTGCACAGACATGTTTGCTCCTTTGGAACTGGGCTAGTAGAGATATTATAAGATGACTTTGGAATTCAAGAATATGGTTTCTTTTGCCTTCAACCTGAAGTGCTACTGTTCCTTCTTTCACTGAAAGATTTCACCACCTCATTCTGCTTCATGTGAAGTCATGTGAAGCCAGAGCCCAGAGCAACCTAACAATTAATGATTTGCTTCCAATGGGTGAATTTGTGTTCATTGTTGGTGGCAATTATCAGTCCTTCATGATGAGGGAATACATTTGCTATTCACAGGTTGATTAATGTTCTTGCTTTTTCTCTTTCTTTCTTACTTTTCCCCCAGAGAGAAAAAGTGAAAAAAGAAGAGGGGAAAGGTTTTGAAGCCGCAGACTGTAAAACGAGAATGTCTAGGTCATGATTTGTTTTCTAGCTTTTACAAATTGAACCTATGTGAGATTTATTTTCTGAGCTAATCTTCAAACAGCGTTCAGGCTCAACTTATAAATGAAGCATTACTTAGTCAGAATGATAAAAAAAATGAGTAGAAAATTAATTTGTATTGTAGTTCTGCCTCAGATTCAGATGCTGAGTTCAGATTGCCTGTCTTGAGTCAAGCACTTGGAATTAAAATTTCTTTAAAGTACAGATTGATTCCTTTATTATTTCAGCTTTCACAGTTGGCATTCACATCAGACCCAGACACGGTTTGTTACCTATGAGCCAAAATGGCTGACAGATAGAACACAAAGGGTCATATCTTATTCAGGAAGGAAACTAGGAACAAAATTAGATATATATTTTTAAATAGAGCAGACATACTGAAAAAAATAATCAAGAAACATTGTCAACAATCAGGTTTTAATAAAGCCTGAGATAAAGTAACTTTTCTTTGTTTGTGCGTCTTTTCTTTTTTAACTATCAAAATGCTCCTGTCAGATGGGAGACATTTTTGTATTCACTGTGAACACATTCATAAGCATTGATGTTCTGAGCACTATGTTCCTTCCCTTGACATTTGCTGTTTTAACACTGAATTGCTATAGTATCATTCTATTCTATTGACTATTGTGTGGTCAATCACACAAGCTCTAGTTTATCTCCTTCTTCCATAATACTTAGGATCATCCAATGGTATTGATGAAAAATCAATTCAGAACAGACAAAAGAGAGAATGTCTTCATACAACATTTAGGGGTGATCAAGACCATGTCAGTCATGCTTTAATTCCACTGTAATCAGTGGTAACAATCCAATGTAAGTGGTGGGGAAGATAATATTTGTTGTTATTTGCTATCAAGCTGACTTTGATGAGCCTATGAATGAGAGATCTCCATGATCCTTGGTCATCAAGGTCCTGCTCAGGTCTTGGAAACTCAGGGCTGTGGCTTCCTTGATTGAACCAATCCCCCTATAATGCAATCTCCCTCTTTTCTACTGCTTTCCACTTCACCAAACATAATTGTATTTTCCACTGAGTCATGTCATTTCATGATATGTTCAAAGTACAATGGTCTCCATTTTTAGTCATCATGGCTTCTATGGAGAGTTCAGGCTTGATTTGTTCTAAAACCCATTTGCTCTAAGATCCACTTTCTTGGCACTCCATGATAGCCATAGAACTCTCTTACCCCACATCTCTAAAAGTGCAAGATTTCCTTTGATGGAGATATTTACGCCAATCACCAGAACATTTCTCTCAATCTCTTGACCATTCTTCTGTCCTAGAAAACCATCTAGCAGTGAGTTAATCTATTCATTCCTTGATTACTGCCCCGAGACATGATTTTGGGTATATATACCACCACCTAGATAATAGCAATTTTCCCTACTTTGTAACTGTGTAGACACTCTGTCAGTTCTACTAGGTTCCTCAATATAGCAGTCACCCCACTTTCCAAGGCAGCTATTGAGCCCTCTCCATTCCAAACACCCATTGATTTGAACCACATTTCATGATGGGTTACGTATCACTGTTAGCTAGGCTTCCACTATTCACCATTTCCCAC